TCTATCAAGTCTATATTACCATGTATTGGTCGATGGCACCGCTCGCCGAGACAGGAAGAAGAAATAAGTCAAAGGAGGTCAGTCGAGGGAAAGCACTTCTCCTTTTCTTGAGACATCAGGATTCAGAGAGAGGAGAATAGACGTTGTAACGTGGGTGCGATTCAATTTACTTCTCTCTGCGTTAACCGTCGCGTTCTCATAGCCTAATAGCTTCAGCGAAGACACTAATTTGCATAATATAATAATATTTGATGTAAACGACTGACGGTGGCACAGAATGACGAAATGAAACGTATTTTATCACGCGCAATAATAATTGCGCAGCGTTTTTCGTCCTGACAGCGATTGACATGCGAATAATTTGACTTTTTTGAAATTATCGGGATTTTCGAAGGACGACGGAAAAAATCGAACGTTTTCGGCATCTATCGACGAGAATAAATGCAACTACGTAAATTTCGAAGCCAGGACTCCCTCGTGTATTAACGCTACATTTGCCAGCGGGGAGTAATAAATCCTTTTGTTCCCCCGCCTCGGGACCGCGAAAGAGGACGAGCCGTGGTCCACCTCCACGTTGTCTCGAACGTTTTATTCCATTTGGCTCCTTTTTCGTAGGGGGATACATCCTAACGGTGTATCGACCTACTCGCGGCCGGAAGTGCAGATCGAGTAGGAGAATTTTGTCTTACGCGTGCGGCGGTAATTGTCGAATTCCGAACGCCCGCAGTCATTCGCTCACAGCCTCTCTCGGCTGAATTAACAATGAGAAGACTGTGGCCACGCGTCCTTTCGAATCGACATTACATGACACGGACATGCAAAAACAAAATACCGGCATGGCGTAAGCAAGATTGAAATTTCAGTCACTCGAGATCACTTCGAGCGTCCTTACATCCGTCATTTTAAGCATAGTTATATTTGATTCAAGGCTACTCATAGATTTGGCAATTTTTACATTTCTTTTTGCGGCAGGCTTTAAAAGTAGCTTTGTATTACGGTATCACTGTGGATAACTTCGTGTATATCTAGAAAGCAATTTACGGTAATACCTGCGCCGACAACGCGTTATCGGGCTCTCTCATCCCACTCCCACATTCCAAACACGCCGGTCGTAGAATACAGCCACCTGCCGCATGCATTTCTTTCTACGGAATGATATAATGGCGAAGTAGCCGGTGGAATGTATAATTCGTGCAAACGGCGAAGATTGGAGCCGACGGGAAAAAAAAAAAAAACAGGATCGTAGCGCGCGTAGATCCGATCGCGGCGCACGGTGGGAAGATCGTATTACGCAAGAAAGCGGCAACCGCGATGCCTCGCGCGAACGCTTTAATTATTTAAGTCCCGGATCTAACTCGCGATTCCACCTTCTTCGTTTTCTTGCCGCACTGCCTTCGTAATTCAGTGCCTACTGCTAACTACGACCAGTGGCACGGTACTCGTTACCGATCCATACTTTCCGCGCAACCGCTAATCATACGATTATTTATTTCACTTTATTACGCGGCATTATATTAATCATCGAAATTATCGCAGGGATTACCGCAATAGCTTTTGCATCTCTGCCGCGTGGATTGCCCAAAGTTGTCATCAACTTTCTCCATTTTTCTTTCATTGTAGATGATGTAATTATTGCAGCACGAATTTGATTTTTTTCCCCTTGTGAAAATACTGCTCCTTTCTTGTTCGCTTCGCTGTGCTTTGTCGCTGTGCTTTGCTTGAATATTTTTGTATCGCCAAAAATTGCAAACTTTCGAAACGTCAGAAGGTTAACGTGTTTACTGTACGCAATTTTTCTGTAACTTTAGACTCCGACTTATTTCGCGCAACGAAACAGGTTTCGCACGTCTGTTTTTTGTCAGGGTCAAAGTGGATGCGGGCAAGGTCGTCCGCATTGCATATGTACATCGGTATGTAGTTGGATTTCGCATTTTTCCAAGTTTCCGACTTTTCACCGTAGGCGTTGATAAATTAATAAATGTCCGTCAGTCAATTTCGAGAGTCGATTATACTTTCATGCTTGAACTGTGCTGATTGATATTCCATTAACAATCCCCGATATAATTGGTAAACGAGTTGGTAATAGCGCTCGAATGCGTGTGAAAGAATGAATTTTCTGCCTGTCTGCTTTTCCAAGGACGATCGAATGCGAATTCTCCGAACACACAATGCAATTATAATCATATTATTTTACCAGTATCTTTTTCTCCCGTTAAAGACTTCTAATCCGTTCGCTTTGCGTCCTTTACGAAGCGTTTCCGTTGAACGTCTCGTTTAATCGAGTGTCCCTTCACAAGCGTTAACGAGAGAACGTCGCGTGCTCCCAAATACTTAAAAGACATCGTCCCGCAACAATAAAAAGCGCTCGTCGGAATGAAGGACGACACGCGCTGCGTCGATGTCGCGGCGACCTGAAGAGAGGGCGACTGGCAAGGTCCAGAGCTCGGAAAGGGCTCGAAGAGAGAGAGAAAGAGTGCGGGGGAGGAGAGGAGCCACGAAGATGAAGAGAAGGAAGAGAGACGAGCAAAAAGAGGAGGCGGGAGGAGGCGAAGAGCGACCAGAGGGAGACGGAAAGAGAAAGAGAGAAACGCTGATGGGATTATAAGTAATGCGCCGCAGCACGTGGCCCCGGTGGGCCCACCTCCAGGTTGTCAAACCTGTTTCTTCCTGTGTGCCATCGTCTCGAAGGCGAAGGTGCAGCGAGAGCTGTGCGGGTGCCGCATCAACGTAGTGTGCCCGTCGACCGATTTTAATATTCGTCCCAGAAACGGGCCTCCCGGCGGCGCCAAAAGGAATTCGACGTCTCTCCTCCCTGCCCGGAGCTAGGAGGGCCCCGACGGGTTATCCGCGCGCTGCCAACTTCGCTGCCGTCGCGCGCGACGGAGTGAGATCCACTGTCGAAACACACCCGAAGGAGCAAATAGCGACCATTAGGCGACCAACCTGTGCCTTAATGGAAAAATTGAAGATAACCACCGGCCTGCCACTCGACCACTCAACCGATTCGCTCGCTTCCTCCGGCACGGGAGGCGTTTTCGTCGATTACGTCAACAAACTGGCCCCGATCGCTCCCGCTCTCGGCCGGGTCCGGATGCCCGTCGAGACGCGGCCCGAGACGTTCTTCGTCCTCGGCGTCGTCATTTTTTCTCATTACGCGCCGTGAAAAGCGACGTTGACTTCCATTAGGTGATGCACGCCGCAAGGTGGGCGAAAAAAGGAAAGAAAAAAAAATAGGTTTTGGGAGAAGATCGTGCTTCTGGATGCATTTATGGTGACCGGTGTTCTGCATTTTTTGCATTCCTTCAAAAGAATGAGTCCACCGTGCATTGCTCGAAATCTACTAGATTACGACTGTAACAATTCGTTTTGTAGAAATATCATTTTCTTGCAATATCTCAAGTGACCGTTTAAGTGCAACGGGAAATATTTAATTAAAATCTTTAAAAAATTCAAGATATTAAAAGTTATATTAACGAAAAATGTCTTCTACTACTTAATTATACAGTGGATTACTAACTGCTAATTATTATAAAAGTTATGGACGTTTAATCATATAGACTTACAATGTTATAATTCAGACAGAATCGACTTTAAAGTATTTAAAATTATTTCAGCGGCGCTATCTCGAGAAAAAATGCAGAGCAAATAAGCTCGTTATTCTACCAATAATCTCGTGGAAAAAAGTCGAACCATTTATTAGTCGTTTCTGTTAGAATTTCTCGAGGCGATGCGGTGGTCCAGCTTGCGCTTCTCAATCAGGAATAGATACACCGTTTCGCGCAGCCTCCACTCCCGGCGAATGTATGTTATTATGCGTGTTTATCTGCTTTTCACAAGTGGTATCTGCGATAATTATACATTCCGAACACGAAAGCAATGAAAGGTCGCGTTTCTACGTCCGCTACCTGGGGCGTCCATTACTCGCGCGCGGTTCCTCCACGAAACGGTGCCTCGATCACGCTCGAAATAGGACGCGGCACGTCATAAACGTATCATTATCGCATATTGTTGTATCGCGAAGATTTCTCTCTCCGCCCGGAATGTTAAATTTCGTCAAGGAGTTTACTGACTGACGTTTCGAAGACTCCTTCCGACAAGTGACGACCGTGCGCTATTTCATGCGCACGACTTCCATTTGCAGTGTTTGCCGCGGTTATCGGTCCGATCGGTGATAATTACAGGTCCCTGTGTTTTAAGCGGTGACGAAAGACCTGGACCGCGGTCGATTATTCGTAGTTACCGCCGAATGTAGCTGATCGACCGTGCAGACCGTTATAATCCGCTGATTGAATGAAATCGATGTTACTCCGCGACCGGTCGGAATGTGCGGGCGAAAGAAATTCGCCAGATGAAATATGGTCGGTCTACACGGTGATTAGTTGATTTTCGGGCTGCGGCGGCGTCCCCTTTGCCGTTCGCCTGAGAACTTTCCCATGAGATACGGTCAGTCTCGAATTTTATCTATCATCTCGAAATCTAAAATTATTTCTATACATGTGTTGCGCATTTTTTCATATATAATTGTTTTTAAAAGTTTTTTAATCTCTTTTTAAAAGATTCTGTTTTTAAAATGGAGCACTTTCTCATATAATCTTACAACAGCATTTCATCGAGTCTATAAAAATAACGAGAAGTATTTTGCGATCGCAAATCTAGAATCGATCGAACGACGATGTTGCAAGCGCATTGGAAAAAAATCGATCCGATAAAAAGGCGTTACGTAGGAATTCTAACGCACTCTGCTTGCGCCACGCCGTCGATTCGATGCGGCGGTCTCGTTTCGGGATCCCGCGGGGGTCATCGATCCGATGCCAACGACAGCAGCGATGACAAAAAAGTTGCGACATCGTAACAATTCCAGTTTCGACGCCGCAGCGACGGCGGCGGCGGCGTTGCGCTGATAGATCCGTGGGATCTGATCGCGCCGATATCGAGAAATCAATGCTGATCGTTCCGTCGTTCGGCGCCGATTTCTCCACAGGTGTCCCGAACATCTAGGATACGTTGACGAACGTTGGCGTGCCGTTTCGCGGAGATCGATGAACCCCCTCGCTTATAGGACCATATAGCACGTATAGTTACAGTTTGATCTCTCTGACAGATCTCCATCGTGAAATTAGGACTCGCCAATCGCTCGTGCGCGCTGTGCTCCTTTCGTCCTGAAAAAGTTCAGGCAAAGTTGCGATGGTATTTTCCTATGCGGTTCCGTATCGCACGGCTGATAGGAGAAAGTAATGCTAAAAGGAATTAAATTTATGAAATTCGCGGATAATGTTAGCAGGAAACTTGCGTTGAATTTTGTGAAAGTGTTTTTACGTAAAACTGTTTTTGCATTACTTATTTATTTGTGTATACTCTGCCCCCTCCCCTCGCCGTATCATTAATGATGGTAAAAGGTTTGTAAGCGTTATCTTAATATCCATAAGCGAAATCTTAAATACGTTTACAGTGAATGGCTATAATAATAGAGCGCTAGTAGAATTGCGACAGGCAATCTGTTATTTAACAGTGTTGGTATTGCTAACTGCGCTCCTTTGTTCGCCGCGCGCGTCCTTCCGTTTAACTCGTCAAAGAGAATTGTTCCTGAAAGAGGCAGTAAAGGCATCAAGTGGGATCTTGCGAGGTTTCGTCGAAACCACGCGGCGCGTTAAGGATTACTGCAGAAGATCGACGCTCGCCGGTCGCATGACGATCGGCGATAAAACGTCATTACGACGCCGTGCGGATCGACGCACGGCAGAAGATCATCGCCATTTGCGAACACGCGTGAAAGCGGCTGCTCGAGGCGCAGGTGGCGAAACGATCGCTTTTACGCCGACCCATTAAAATCGGAATCGATCACCTCGCATAATCGATTTGAGTGAGCCGAGGAATAGAAAGCCGCGAACTCGTAATTTTCTTTCTTTCTTTTTTTGCCGTTTGCAAAAGGATATCGCAAAAAGGGAAATAATGTCGAGGTTAACGACGTACATTACCGCAACTCTACCGTCATTCCTAGAAAAGATAGACATTAGTAAAAAAATTTTACTCAAAAAACAGCAGCGCGGTTCTTTCCGCAATTACTTAAATTCAGCTGGCTAAATTAGCAATTAGTTTATCTCTCCGTGAGAACGCGTGGCGAGCTTTTCCCTCGCGACGCCGTCTAAACTTGCAGGTTTCATTTTCCACCGATATCCCGGCTTCGATCGAGACTTAGCTCACACGTATAAAATTCGCTATTTAACTGTAGGCATAGAGAACCGTCTTCCGCACCTTTCGTATCTATACACCGTTTACTTGGTCTTACCTCTCGCGGGCTTCGCAATCTCGCTTACAGATAGGCAACAATCGCACCATATACTTGCGAACCAAACGTCAGCAATCATACTCACTTCTTATGTTCCCAAGATCCACGTCGCGAGAAAGAAAAAATCTTGCCTTGAACAGCGCGTTGTATTAATTTATTCGACAGGTATTTTTCCTCATTATTAGATATATGACCTTTTACTCATTTTTCATTTCACGTGTATAAATTTCATTTTACGCGTATAAATGTATTCAATGTGTTATTCTAATTGCGCAGTAATTAATTTCGCAATGTGCACAACAAACGCAAAATTATTCAAATTTTTCTTTTTAATTCACAGTTTGTTTTGCGTAGAAAAAAGATATAAGTATATTTGTATACAAAAAGTCCTTCGAAATACTATTATCATATTCGTATAATATCTGATATGAATCTATTGACGACGTGAGCTACTGATGCTAATCGTGATCTAACAAGCAGTTATATCATGCTTCTCGAAGAGAACTAATGCTAAAGACTCCGACGAGTTAATGCAAACAAGACGATGAGTGAATCGCAAATAGAACTAACCGTTGCTCGTTAGGACGGCGATATCCATAAATTTCATCCTTAATACCAAAAACAGGTGAAGGTGCACCAGTGAGAAGCTGCGGGAACGCCGATAAGTACCTAAGCAAGAATGTCCCTCGCTAAGCAGGCCGGGTAACAGCGATTACCGGGAATCAATGGCGCGTAAAGTATCGGTAATAAGAATCCGTAAAATCGTGAGTATGAATATAGAATATCCGCACGACGCGAGACAACGAGGAGGTTAAAGGGAGTGGGGTCAGGCGGAGGCCGCATAGGTGTATCATTACCGAGCTGACCCCTCCCGCGTCTGATCTTTCAGAATCTAGAGCAGGCCGTTTCACATGTGAAAGGATACCCGAGCGTCGCCGCGACGTGCTATTATTGTCGGGATTCGTCCGTCGGCTCGCTGCATGCGCAACAGACAATTGTTTCTCGGTTGTCGGGCGAAAACGTCTTGTAGGACATCGGAGCCGGTCACGAAAGGGAGTTTAGAGCAGAAACGCTGAAGATTTCCGATAGAGGATGAAGCGATAGCATCGACTTTAGCAAACATTTGCACATTCGTCGCAAAGACACGTATGTACGTTTCGAGCGAACGAGATAGATTTAGTATTGAGTCATATTTTTACAATTTAAAAAAATATGAAACACATAAGTCGGGAAATTTTTAAGATTTTAATCATAATAATTATAATAATTAAAATTTATTCGAATTTAAATATGGGAATAAGTATAGATATAAATTTACACGTTTCATAATTAATATGATTATACACGGTGGCTTTTAGGATTTGACTGCAGAACGTTTACTTGGCACTTCAATGATTACTTAACCAATCACATTTACATACCAGAGATTAATTAAATCATTTAACTGTCTGCAGTGCAACTGAAACCAGACGTCATGAGTCACGTTCGCCTACTTTGATGAGATTACCACTTACGACGGTGCGCGCGTATATTGTACAAATGTAAGAAAGTGCTGGAGTATCATTTATCCTAACTATTACTCGATCTTTACACTCGACGTTACATGACAAACGATATCCACTTACCGCGATACCACTTAACTTCTTTAAACAAAGTAACTTTATTTAGAATTATGCATACATCTTAGCTTTCTCTGCCTGGATTTAGCTATAATTGCGCGATCAAAATATTAATACAAATTCTTATGTTACCGCAATATAATCATGAGAGATTTCAAACTTTAATTATTAAACTTTTTTAATGCTATTATTCGAAAGAATGGAGATATATTTTCTAAAAATTAGAAACGCAATTTTGAACAACGACGTCGAGATGTTTTGTCTCGTAACCTGAATGTCGGGAGCGTTAGCCGAATGCCGTTTGCTGCCCCGAATGCTCGCGCCGTAAAGCATATTTTTTTATTGCGTGTCTGTGATTCGTGGGCACGGTCCCGCTGGCCGGCGAACGCGCGCAGAAATTACTGCTATTAGCGATTGTAACGTTGTAAACGGCCGGCAGTCAAAAGCCGAAAGTTATCGATCGGCGCCGTAGCGAGGGTACATTTTTGCAAGATGTAAAAATGAATCCGCAATACCGTGAGCCACGTGAGCGATGAAAAAGCGCTTCGCGTGCCGGCGGCGATAATGACAGGCAATAATCTGCATAAATGTAAGGACCGTGTTTTCCCTTAATTATTCCGACAAACATCCGCGATGGGCGGATTCAATGACTACCTGTTTCGTCTCGCGCCCAAGACATATTGAGATGCCGCGGAACGCGGCAAGTAGACTCATGCGAATGATATACTTCTCATAAACTTTGAAGGGCAAGCCATGTGTATTCAATCAAAATAAAATTTAACGTATACAAAAATGATCATCCATATTAATTGTGAACAAAAACGATAATGATCATAAACTCAGAGACTTTCGCTATAATTAAAATTGACCTGATTGACAACGATGATAATTAGACAATCAACATACAGAAATTTTCATCTATCAATAAAACGTATATTTTAAAAATGATATTTGTATCATATTAGATAACGGAGACTTTTTCGAATTCTACAACACAGATAAAGAAAAAGTGTAAGTTTATATAATCAATGTTTAGTCCAATTATAATTAAAATTTTATATTAATCACACAATTAAAATAAAATAAATTAAATAACAAAAGCATTAAAGTAATAAGAGCAGCAGAATTAGTTCTATATTGGGACGAGCCGTTATTTAAAACAATCTTTAACATTTCTATCCGACATAATAAAAATTACAAATTATTACCAATACGAAAACAAGTTAAAGATATAAATAACATGCTGTGGATTCACTTTGACAAATCACCTTTAATGTCTACTAAACATTTAACAATTGTGATAACCACATTCACTTATTTTTTTCTACTGCAAATGTCAATTTTTGTATAGAAAAGAGATGACAGATCAGGTGCAATGTGCAGGAAACGTTGTCCAAGGAGTCGTGTACTGTTTGAAACAAAAAAGTAAAACAAAAAAAATACAAAAATATAAAAATAGATAACTTCGTAGGAATCTTCTTCTTAATATTGTATTAAATATTACTTCTCAAATTAAAATTGTTCTACTTTTGTTCCAATTATTTTCAATATTTTATTTATCTAATATTTAACATTAACCAATATTTATATATTAATATAAGTATTTTATTTATATTTAAAACTATTAGTATTGTAAATTTGTGTTATGTTATTCCTTTTGTTATTCCTTCATTTAGCCCTTTTCTTTATACGTTAAAATTTTATTATTATTTTTAACAATGTAACATTTTTTATAATAAAGCTTAATAATTTATTTTTTGACTCGTAACTCTCTTTTTTTATTTCTGTATCAATGGATCAAAATTTATATCAATAAATTTATAATTATGCAATGTCTCGTCCGGATGGATAATCATAATCGTAGTAGCGTTCAGCTGCGCTATCCTCAACAGGTTTTTAACACCAAATTCAAAAAAGGCGCCGCTCTCTTACACTGAGGCGCGCCTATCTGCACTCACGGTTCTTCATTGTTTTTCTGTTGTGCGATTCCTCAACACGTTAGGTGTAGTTTTTCCTTTTGATTTTTTGGTTTTTAATTTTTTCAGGTGTGGGTAGGTCTCCTCATAGATCGAGGAAGAGTAAGAGATCGTCATCAACAAACGTCTGGCGGGCTCGGAAGAGAATGTCCCGCTTAAATGACATTTTGACGCAAAGTTAGGTTAGGCGCCCAATCGCCCTCCCCTCCCCCCGTCTTTGCCAGCGTCTTTTTTCCCTGTGCAACAGGCGGACCATGGGTCACGTATCGAGTCAGAATCTATCAGAGATCTGATTCGAATATTCTGGTATCCCTTGCGAGACAAGTAGGACCAACGGACCCACAATTCAGGTGTGTATGATATTGCTGGATCTGTATTTGCGAAATACAGACGGCATGACGACACAACCTTTTTTGTCCGAATACTCGGAACATCCAATGGATCTTGGCAGTGGCAGGTGAGATCTTATTCGAGGATGACACGTCCCTTAGACCATCTAAGCGAAACACGCTAATAGAAGACTCCTTGTCCATAATCTTGGCCTCCAAAAGAGGATACTGCGGATTCTTTTACAGAACAATTGTTTGGTTCCGATCTGGAGGGAGAGGAAATTTTATCCTGGAACGAGCTAGTGACACAGAGGTGGCGTGACCTAACGCGTAACGGGCTTCTGGCAGATCAATGGGAGCTTTTACTAAGAAAATACTCCCCTCCCGAGGTAACATTTCTCAGGCCCCCACCTTAAATCAGGCTCAGGTGAGCATGGTGCTGCGCTTTAGGCGAAGCCATCTCGGATTTTCTCAGGCCAGCTACGCAGAATGCTTTCGGTCCTGAGGCTCGCATAGCTGTAACCATTGGTGGATTCTGAGAGAGGGGGTTAAACCTCCCCCCCTTCCAAGTCAAAAATCAATTTTGCTGAATCCGTTTCAAAAATCTTGGTAAAGAATGCATTAAAGCAGGTTGAAACTCCATTATCGACATTAGGATCCCCTAGTGGCTGTAACAAAGGTCAACGAAGGAGCGAGTGTCGCTGACCGGATCAAAAAATACCGGCGGCAATAAGGACACGTGCGACGATTTGGTCGCTAGATAAAGTACGGCGTCTTCGGACGCTCGTGTGAGTCTCTCCGCTCGCGCGGAGTGCACCGAACACGAAACAAGGATCCTGGTGGCCCTTTTTATCGACTCTCTTTGAGTAAAAGAGCGCGGATTACACCCGCCCTTAAATTGATCGCCAAAAATACAGCGGATGCCATTCCAGCTGACGACCTTCTTTTTCTCTTTCTTTGGAGAGCAGATGAGAACAGCGGCCTCTATGGAGAAATCATCCAGGAACATTATTAAAACGCCGCTAACAATATCTCGGAAGATTCAGCAACCAATTAAGCAACCATTGTAAGTAGCCCCCGTTAGATCGAGTAACGCCCGCGCCTCTGTGAGATACTTGAGATTAGCAACGAGGAGAACAGGGGCAGCAAACAACAGTCGCCGATCATCATACCGCTCCAGATCCCAGTCGAGGAGATACTAGACAGAGAGGAAGTAAATATTGCTGGCAGGTTGTCTTATTTTCTTTCCAGTGGAAGGAAATTATATCAGACCGGATAATCTTTCAGCCTATTGCTGGCTATAGGCCACCGGTCACATAACACTTATCCAAGTTGGAGGAACAGATTTGCTCCCAGGAGATTTCCAGACTTCTCGATAGAGGAACAATCGAGATTGTAGCGGATTGTAAGGTCTAATTTTTATCTCCGTTCTTGGTTATTAAGAAATCAATCGAGAGGACGGTTATTTATGTTTAATATAAATTGCCTCAATTAGTTTATTATAGCTCCGCAGTGCAAGCTAGAGGACTAGAAAATGGTAATTTTCCTCCTTTCCATAAATAATCTCTTACCTTAATTGATTTAGAGGACGCATCTGTAGTACATATAACTTTAGGATTTGCGTCCAATAGCTCACCTTCTTCCTCTTCATCTCCTAGTTCGAATTGCTCTGCTGTTGGAATATCGTTATCGTTTTCATAATCTAAAGATTCTTCTACTTCCATTTCGTATCTCTCATCGCGCATTTCTTTCAGCATAGATTCTATTTTATGTGCCATTTCTTGTTCTTTAGATGTTATCGGACTTGTTGATAGATTAAGGGCCGAAAAAGTTACGTATACTAACATTATTACGTTAAATGGATTTAATTGAACCATTCTGAAAAATATATGGTAACAATTAAATATTTCTCCTTATTTGTGTACAAAAAAATAATACTTACTTTATAGTGAATTTGCTGTTCTTTTTTGATGCTGTTTTATATATTGTTTTTCCGTAATCACTAACAAGCGCACAACTTTAAAGCGTAATATATGCACTGACGGGATATAAAAACGCGCTGCGCTATAAATATACTCGAAATGCGACTATAAAAGTGTAAAATAGAGGGATGCCTTGGCAACAAACCTTTAGTGAACTTTGTTCTTTGATCAGAACATTTTTCCGAATACTTCATAACATGCTGATCTTTATTTCTAATTTTATTCATCTTATCAATTACACATGCGCGACACACATCGATTACACAAGCGGCACAAACGATGCGTTATGCATATACACATATGCATATATCGAAGCGCGACGCATATAATGCGACATTGACAGCTCATTTCTGAAAGATGCGATTTCGAAACATAATAAAATCATATATGGTTGTATTCAGCGTAAAAAATGCTACAACTTTTGTCATAACAAAAATTTTTAAATTCGTAAAAATAATAAGATGGGGTAAGAGTAAATTAAAAAATATAAATTTTTTTAAAAATCGACCTACGCGGTTATAAAGCTCATAAAAGACCATGCAACTTTTATTCGAAACATTTTTTTGATACCTCTTACAGTTTTGACGATATTCAGTCAAAACCAAAAAAAAACCGTTTTTAGCTTGTAGGGGTTGTTTCAACCCTAAAACGTGCAAGAAAGCACATAAAGAAAAATACG